TTTACCCGTCTGAAGTGAAACTTTCTTGATTTTTGCATTTTGATTTGGCAAGACGTTGTAAGAAAATCTTGTGGAGAGAAGTTTGAGATGAAATCCTACACCAAGTTCTTCTGCTACAGAGATTTTTAGGATCTACAGCTGGCTTGTTTGCTCTTGAATACAGGATTTGGGATTTAAAAGGAAAATGGGCCACCAGTGACCCTCACCCTGATGGGGAAACGGATTTCTCCTTTGATGAACCTCTTCACTAGTTAGTTCTATTTTCTTCTGCTAGATTAGACTCTCACTGAAGTTTTTTTAGAATTGAAGGTATAGTAACCTTAGTACAGTATTTGATGCCATCTAATAAAGGTTTTGTTTCCTTGTTTCAGATTTAAGGTATTTAATTGTGAATGCTTCATAGCAATTCTATAGTTTAAAGCTGTGTTGAGATTCACACTTAAATCTAGGATTAAACCTCTATATATGAATATATAGTTGTGCCATATACTTGTACAGATGACCAGGGAGGAACTTGTGTGAGCTCACAAAGTATCAGAGAACATAAAATTATGGGACACAGATTGAATTTTACCATTCTTTCCCTTCCACGTTTGTATCTCCTCCTTTCTTAATCTCCTTCAGTATTTCCCTTTCTGCAGCAAATTCTAACTTCCCTCATTCAGTGCCATTCTTTCTAGTTGCCGGCTCAGAAGACACAACTCTGCACTATTTACATTCAGTTCACGTTTGGAAGGGGTCTTTTTTCTCCACAACCATGAGGTTTAGAAACTTCTATGTTTTTTAATGAAAGCTAGAATTCTGTGGAATCGGATTGTTTCATGGGCCACATAAGTATGTTAAGGAATCCAGGTGCATTCTGTAGGCTGGGTGTTTGACACAACTGATTTCCAGTTCCTCTTGTGCTCTGTTTCATTGACAGCTGTGGAGTATGTCATGGAGGAAGCTTGCAGAATCTACTGAATAAAAAACTTTTTATTTTGCACTGACAGCTTGTTTTTGTGGGGCTGCTGCTGCTTAGGTTTGCTCAGCTGCTAAATAGGTCTTGATTTCATACATTTCTCTTGAGGAGTGATGAGACAGCAGCTTTATGAAAGAACCCTATCTTTATTTTGATAAACATATTGATATTTTTAAGAAAAGACTTCTTTAAAGCATTTAGTTGTGGAACCTATTTACAGCACTTGGCTTAGGCATTTGAATGAAGGGTCTTGCCTGGTTTTAGTGTTGCCTTCCTAGTTCCCATATGCCCTTTGTTCCTTTAAAAACACGTACAAGGATTAGAACAATTAATCAGCTTCCTGAGATTCCATCAGCCCCCACAAATAAAATCCAATCTTCATGTATTCAGGGAAAACCTGGAAAATAGACTTTGCGTTATGCGCTGAAGATCACATATATGGGCTTTGCTGGTCTACTGTTGAATAAAATACTTGAAAAGAAAGTTCAGAATTTGTTAGTGGTCAAACTTTTGCTGTATAGTTGTCTTAAAAACCAGCAGGATGTTTTAAACTCTCCCTTGACAGTTTGCATGTAATGGAATTTTAGTGTTCATGAAATGTGGCAGGCTAACAAAACAGGACACTGAAATCTTACATTTCTGCACAGACCCAGATACGCTATGGTCAGTGCAAGTTTCCTCATATAGCCTTGCCACAGTGTTTCAACATAAGGTAGAAAAGATGTCTCTCAGGATAGTTCGGTTCTTGGCCTCATTTCTGATGGTGCTACAATAAAGATATCCGTTGTGGTGATGGTTTTGATGTGAACACTTCACTAGGAATGGTACTGAACTTGTTGCAGGCAGCCCATTGAGCTACCTTTTTATGTAATAACTACTTTCAATAACAAATATTACTCCTGAGGGAATTATGCACCAAAAATTTTAAAATTATGCGCACAATATTTTAAAATTCTGCAACATTTGTCAATAAATGTGGCTGGTTGGGGCTCAATGGGGTTGGGGTCTGAGTGTGGGGGGCTTGTCAGAGGGGCCCAAGTGTAGGGGGGTAAGGCTTGTCAGGGTGAGGGTTTGATGGGCCCTCCTTAATGGGGAACCCCAGTTGCTGCCAAGGGGATGCCAGATCCCGGGAGCCCGCTTTCCCCCGTGATTCCCCTATCCCCTTGTTCTTCTCCATCCCCCTCCCCTCACTCCCACATTCCCTTCCCCCTGCCCTATTCCACCCCCCTTCCCTCATTTCCCCCACCCCTGCTTACCCAGTCCCACTCACTGTTCCACAGATGATAGGAAGGCTCCAAGGACACAGAAGGGGAGCCCAACTGGCACGGAGACACAGGAGGTTGCATTCAGCTGCAGAGTCAGCGGAGCCCGAGCGGAGAGGCCGCCTCTGAGCTGGGCAGCTCTGTGTTTGCAGAAATGAGGAGGGAGGGGAGCAGTGGCACGTAATCCCATGTGCCCCCCATGCCTTGCCCCTCTCTGGGGGCAATCCCCCCCCAAAACTGCACACGAGACTTCCCTGTCGTTTTCTGCAGAGGAAAAGCAGGAAGTGTGTGGGGCGTTGGTTTCTATGGGCACGCAGTCCCACAGAATTCCCCCAGGACCAGGAGTACTGGCACGCACATACACTCAGCCCTGTCCCTCCGATGGTGATCACGCATGCCCAGCCCCCCTCCCCGATCTCTGAGGCTGCTCCAGGCACGCTGGCACAGACTCACTGCCAGGGAAGAGGCACGTGTCTCCTGGCAGATTTTGTTTGCATTTTTCTGCACGGGAAGCACAGAAAAATGCAGGCCATATGAATTCTGCACTCCTGCGTCGGCGCTGAATCCCCCCAGGAGTAATATATTTTGGAGTACTTCACTCTGAGTCCATAATGAAAATATTTTAATTTGTGGTGGTGTGAAAATCAAGGGGAGAGATGGAATCAAGCTTTGACCCCCATGTGTTCTTGTTAACCGATCAATCAAAAGGGAGTGGGAAGAAATCAATTCTTAGGCTAGCTGCTTTTCTCCCATGACTCCAATCTGTCCTGAATATTAGGGTGCTGTCTTAGAATACTAATTTGTCAGGTGTGCAGTAGACTATACTTTTCCAACTCTAGGTAGATGAATGCAGTGTACACTAGTAGCTTTTCTTTTCTATCCTCTTTTGGCCCATTGTCTGCTGCCATTGGCTGAAATAGGGAACCACCACTGTGACCTGAAATAGAGGCTTCAACATGGAATAAATTTGCAGTACTTTCGGGGCAAACTCACCTGTATTTGAGACACTAAACCTTCTAAGTCACTTACTGGATGTAGAGTCACACCACTGCAGAGGGCCAACAGGAAGCCTGATGCATCACTTTTAAGTTCTGAAGATAGCAATTAAGTGGGACTGAAGTGTTGCATTAGATCTCATTCTGGCCCTCTGTATCTGTGTGAATTTCAGCTGAAGGCCTGGTCTACACCTAAAACTTAGGTCAACTGAACTGCATCACTCAGCATGTGAAAGATTCACACCTGAGAGATGCAGTTAAGCTGTCCTAAGTCCCAGTGTCGGTGGGTTAACAATAAAAATCCTTCTGTCCACCTACTTATCGCTTCTTGGGGGTGAATTTACTATGGTGAAGGAAAAACCTCCTTCTTCACTATAGCGCATATCTACGCGAGGGTGCGACAGCAGCGTAGCTGCAGCTGTGCCACTGTAGCGCTTGTAGTGTAGACTACAAGCATTAGTAGCAGCATTAGGACCTTCTTTTTGTTCCTGTTTTAAATCTTGTCAGTTACCCTGTAGGAAACAAATGGGAGGCAGAGGGAGTAAATGAAGGATAGATAATTTTAATTTAACTCTGTGGCTCTGCCTATAGTAGTCTTTAAAAAATATATATAATAAGGTGTCACAGTGCTGCCTAATTCTGCTTTGTGCATATCTCATTGATGTCATGGCAAAAACAGCTGCTTCTGGCACCTTGTGTACATTAGCACTCAATCTCTTCTTTCCTTGCCCCCACTGGAGCTGAACCTATGGTAACAAGAGTGGGGAACTTGGGAACCTGGCGAAAACCAGTCTGATCAATGCCAAAGGCAACAGGGGCAGAGGGAGAAAGCAACAAAACTGATTGATTGCAATTTAAAAAAAACAAAACAAAACAAAACAATTAAATGATGGTCCGTGATTTAAAAATAAGTTGAGTAGATATTTTACTTGATTCATGTCTTCTGATGGAATACTGCTGTTGGTTATTAAAAGATTCGGTGACCTTAAGTATCAGCCAAGGGAAGGTGATAGTTCAGCATGATTTTTAAGGTGTGTATGCGGGTGACAGTGCTTGCCCACTCTCAATTCAGACATAGACTGGAGGCTTCTACTATTTAAAAATCAGTCCTGTGGAAAGTGACCTTCAGTATGGCGGTGAGCATTCTTGGTCTTGTTTTTACCGATCTCTGTAATTTTCCAGTATAAATGTCAGTGCCAGTCTATTGTGTACAGTGTAAGGTTTCCTCCATCCTTACCTTTTGCTTTCTGTTGGGCATGACACATCAGCTGAAAGTGCATGTTTCGAGACTCACTAGTGTACAATGTGGCTTAATTTTTCTCTCTATTGTGTACAAATAAATGGCTTGGTTTAATTTGGTATTCTTGTTTAAGGAACTACTGCAAACATTTGTTTTTCTGTTTGTGTATTTAAAAACAATAAAATAGAAAACCAGCTGAGCTGAATACTTATACTCTAACCAGGTTTAAAAATAGATGAAGGCTGGAAAACCTGTACTTTGATTAATTTGCTGTGACATTGGCATCCGCATGTGACATTGTCTATGTGCAGATTTGTCACGCTGTTGACTAAGGCTGTATTTACACAATAGGAAGATATTTATGCCCATTGGGAAAGGGGTGAAGAACCTCTTACATGCTAATCCAGCTCCTTGCTTTTGTGTTCTTGGAGAATGTTTGTTTGAAATGCTTTTTGGTCCTGGTGCTTGCTAACATTCTGCTTAGTATTAGGCTGTATGGCAGAAATATTGGTTTTAAAGTAAGGACATCTTTTTTATATTAGGTTTTGACGTCATTATCATGAAGGTCATGGAACTGGAACGCTTCTGCGGTGAGGCATGGTGCTAGTACAGAGATATATTCTGGAGGCAGATGAGTTTCCTGTCACTGGAATCTTTTTTTAACAGAGAGAAGTTTAACATAACTTATTGTCTAATATCAAGATCACTGTACAGTTTCCAGCACCAGTAAAATAACAGGTAATCTTCCACTGAAAGCTTGACATGAAATGTAAATAAACTAGCAATTGTAGGTTAGCGTATCTAATTACATTCCCTGTACTTACCATATATACTATATCTACTCATTAATCCTTTTGATTGTAATTCATAACATTTGTTTGTCCAGAATTAGAGCTAATTTTGATGGAGCTGTGACTTGCTCTGAATACTATAAAGCCCAGTCTACAGCAATTGATCTTGTAAATGTGCCATTTCCAGATGTTCAGCAGCTGAAACTTTTCAGATCATCTTTTTCAGGACAGAGCAACATTACCGATTTCCCCCACCCACTTGGTCGTCTTGTGCTATATTACTAGCTGAAATAGTATGCACATTCCATAACCACTGTATCCACAACCTGGTTCTTGTAGTATTCAATTTCCAATAGAATTCAGATTTGGGTGCTCTTATTTTTGGGTTGGTTGACTTGGAGAAAAGTAGCAGAATAAGGGGAAAGCATCAGAACAAGTGCTCTGGAATTTGTGCTGTTACAACAGACTCTGATGCCCTTGTAACTTTCATTGTCAGTTAAAGTATATTTAGAATCCTGCTTCTTAGCTGTACTGTGTAAAGCAACAGAAAAGCTTAATATATTTGCTCAAATGTCAGGTTTTCATTGGAAAATCTGACCAGCTGTAATACTTTGGTTTTGGTAAAGATTGTGTTGGAAAAGTGGTGCAGTAATATACTAATCTTCTGTATGTAGAAGTTAAACGAATAATGCATAGTATTTTCTATATACCAATCTAGCAGGTAGAGACAAAGTTAAATGCATATGTTATCATGATACAACTGTTCTGCATACTTTTTCCTATTTTTTCCCCTTACTTCCTTAATTCTTTCCCTCTTAGGAGGGTGGTTCTGTACTTTTGTGATCTTTCAGTTTTTGAAATGAGCGTGGAGGGGGAGGGCAGAGAAGTGCAGAGTCATCTGGAAAGGAGGGAAACATAAACTCAGATATACACTTTGACAAAGGAATACCTATCAGGACTCTCATTGTTAACTCACTAAATTGTTCACATTTTAGGTAGCCACAAAACACTTCTAATGACACCATACATAGTTCTTTCCCCTTGATGTACCAAGACTTACTTGAACAGAGATTTATAAACATTAGTAGGGTACATTGTGTGAAACAGAAAATGAAGTCTCCATTGAGGAAAAAACATGTTTTAAGTGCTCTTAAAATGACCATGCAAAATCTTACGCAAATAATTGAATTTAAACTGCCATGCAAGCTTTTAAAGTGACTATATGGGAATTTTTCAAATAGTCTAATCTAAGCCCATCAAAACAGGAGAAAATTGACTATTCAAAATAGATCTTCATTTATTCTATTACTCTGTTTGTGTGCATGTACATACCCACTTGAGTAAGAGGTGGTTCAGTGAAAGGAAGTATTGAGGCTTCACAATCCCACTGTGATGGCAGATGCCACTCTTAGGTTTTGACAAATATTCAGGACTCCGTCCTACCCACTAAAACCTTATTAGAAGTTGAGTTACAGTACTCTGCAAAATTTTACCAAACAATATTCAAAGCAGTGTGAATTATTTACTTGAGTAGCAAAATACCAAAGCAGGAACAAGTGAGTGTGTTCCCCCGATATGATCTGAAAGAGGCTGAAAATGTCTCAATTACAAGAAAGCCATAAAAGGGGAGAATAGGGCAGCTGGTTTAAAAAGTCCACAATGCGACTTGAACATTTAATGTGACTGGTACAGGGAGCTTGCAACCCTGGAAAGACATAACTCAAATCTGAAGAAAAGCAAACATAGTGTCAGCATGAGTTAAAATAGAACAGTAGAGCAGGGGTTCTTGCAACAAATTTCTTGGTGGCCTCCAAGTGCAGCCACCAGCTCTTGGTGATGGCTGCTCTCACAAATCCATCTCTCGGTCCCTGCCTCCCCCAGCCCTTCATTGAGATTCTGCCCTGGGGAAGGTGGGTTGGGAACTCTCCGGTCGCCTGTGAAGTTCCAGGCTCCCTGCGCTCTTGGCAGGTGGGAGCGGGTGAGCTGCCCAGGGGAGCGTCGCAGTGACTGAATGCTGCGGCTAACTCCACTGACAAGAGCTGCCTCCAGCGCCATGCACACCAGCCCCACGTTTCCAGAGGTGCTGCCCAGAGTCCCCCGAGGAGGCTGCGTGGTGCAAAGCGCTGATTCCTGCTGGCAGTGCTAGTGCAAACACTAAGGCAGCACATCTCACTGCTCTTGGTAACAACAATTCAGGACCAACAGTTGGGTGCTGCAGGGAGGGGCTTCCTCCCCCCAAATCTTCGCCATCCTTTGGAGGCTGTCATGGCCACACACAAAAATCTGCTGGCGGCCACATTTAAGAAATGCTGCACTAGACAGCTCAGTCCAAAGAGATGTAGATCTGCTGGAAGTGCACAAAACCCATATGGAGACTAAGCAATACAGCAGTGTCTCATCCTTTGGCAAAGAGCCATTGTGAGATGAATAACTTCTCTGACCATCGGTTCTTATTTTTGAAACCAGCTGATGTTTCTATCTGGACACATAGTACAAATCTGTTTATATACTTCTAAGTCTTATATTCTTGGATTTTAAATGAGTGCTAACATGACTCATATCTGGAGCTAACAATCAAAAACACTAACATTCAAGTGGTCGTGAATATCACATTGCTTATATGCCCCTGGCAACTTCAATTAAAGTTGGAGTATGTTGACTTAGGAATTGCCGATGCTACTGGTATTGGAACACCTGATATCTGTAAAAATACAGCTAAAACCAAAGAATTAAATTGCCAGAATGAAATCTGTTCTGCTTCAATGCAATAATAAACTAACTAATAAGCAGGAAAGTTAAACTGGGGGAGATTTTCAAAGACACAGATGGCTGTTAAGTGCCTAACTCCCTGAAAGTCTATTGTAGTTAAGTGGCTCACTGCCATTTGCTTTTGAAAATCTCCCCTTGTTGTTCTTGCAGTTTAGAACATGTGACAGCCAATGGAGGCATGTACCAAATTCTAATTTGTTCAAAAAATTTAGTGTAAGTGGCAGATGGCAGAATGAGTGAATTTCCATTTCCTGTCTTTTTATGCTTAACCAGCCTCTAGGTCTTACGAGCGTATAAAATGTAAAATATACACAAAGATGTATACTGTACAGAGACGCAGTGACACATACAAGCTGAAAGAAACTCAGTTGCAGTATTTGAAGCAGATGAACAAATATTGAAAAGGAATGGTTTAAAATTGAGAACTTTTCCAGTTAATGGCCATTGTTTTGCCTTGAAATGGTGACAGTCGTCAAAGGACGAGAAACTGATGTGGAAATCTGCTCAAGCAGTGAGAATTTAGCCCTGTGAAGAAGGGAGATGTGCTTCTGCATCCCTTCAGTCAGGAATAAAAAGTAGTGGGGAAAATGTTTTTCTTGGGGATTTCTTTTGTCACTGAAGTAAGCAGATAACTCTCTGGAATACCGAGTAGCTCTGAGTAAGAAAATATCCTTTTTACATAGTCAGTTTTGAGTAGAACTGCACTTAGTTTGAGCTACAGGGGAACTTTTTTGATGGCTTCTGCCAAGCTAGCCACAAAGGAGAGCTCTAATTTATAGGAAGCTCTTGGTCTGGTAAGGGCTATTGTCTTCCTGTGGATAACATCAGAAGGAAGCCCTTGGTGAATGGACAGTTAAAAGTAATCAAGTGTGTAGGTAAGAGAATCTCCCTGCGGGCATAATTTAAAGGTTATGAAATAGATTTTTTTTTCCTGCTTGTTCCACAACTTTGCATCCTTTTTTGGAATATTTATAAGCTTACTTCTGAAACATACCGATTTTTGTTTTGCAGTTGTAATGAATGTCAGAACATTTCTTCTTGCTTGTCGTGATCCATTTTTGTTTGCAGCCAATTTTGATTTGTCCTTGACTTTGAAACTGTAATAAACCTAAAAGCACTAGGAACTGTTTTAGTTAAAGATTGATACAAGTGAAATTGGCTTGTAGACTTTGACAGTTTATCATAATACTATTAAGGTGCCACTGTAGTCTGTTTCTACTGAAATGTGGGTTTAACTCTGAGCCTTTTAAACTCAGTAGGAAAGGATGCCGCTGATGTCTATTTGCTGTGGAAAAAGATGAAATCTTGCTATTTTGTGAAGGTGTAATAGTAACATAATGTACTAAATATCTCATCATTTGAAGTGCTGACTTACTAGTGGATTTCAAAGAGATTCCACATAGTCTTTGCCATGGGGGCTTTTTCTTTGTCCTTTTGTGAAAGAGATACTAAACAGTGTCTTATCTGATAGTGTTCTATCAATGCACTAAAGGTTTATTGGCACTAGTTTGAGATTACATGTAACATGCTTGTGAGTAACTCCCTCAAGCTTTATACCAGACTAAGTGTGCTGAACTGATTTGCAAAATACCATGTAGCAGCTCACCCACAAAGCCATGCATATATTTCCCATGGTGGGTGGGACACACACACACTCCCCATCCAGTCAATTGCCACCAGTAAAGATCGTAGTTCCTCTATGCAAACTTTGACACATGCAACCAGTCAAAAGGCTCTATTTTCACATCTCTCATCCAGGTAGCTATGCCAGCTTCTCTAGTTCTCAACAGTCTTTCTCCTGACTTTTTGAGGAGAGGCAGATCAAACAAGCTTCCATTCTGAGATCGTTTTTGCCTCATATTTTTACCACTTTCTCAGTGTATCTTACTCTAGTAATTTGGGCAGTATGCTTGGAAAAGAGGGACAGAGAAGGATAGGTTAATGGTGCACCATTTTTGGTACCACTAGGCAGACCACCATAGCAGGATAACTTTGTTCTAATTACAAAGGCTTCTAGGCTCACTTAAATGACAGGTGGCTTCCAGTGATCGTTTGAAGAGGTAGAATGGCATGGCTTCAGAGCATGTGTGCATCTTTCACACAGGGATCTCATTGTTCTGTGAATAGTGAGCCTCACAACATTGCACATGTAGGGTATTGCGGATACAAAGTGGGTTTCAGCCTATGTTTGTTTTGTGCATTTGTGTATGGGCTCCACCTGGTATATATTGATCTGTGGCTTGTGCTTTGGTGGATCATTCATTTGACAGATATTAAGGAAGTGAATGGGGAACAGTTTGGTCTACAACTTCTAATGGGGTAGTAGATGGGGATATTCTTGTGTGTCTCTTTTGGAAGAGAACAGATGTATTGATCTCTGATAAGCCCTGGAAGGGTAGGGGAGGTTTGGGTTTCTGGTGTAAGCTAATATGTAATGTCTTTCCTGAGAGGAGAGAGACTTCTTGTGCGCCCAATCTTTGTATTTATAAATGTATTACTCTGAGCATTCATAGAGTGCAGATGTCCAAAAAAAGATATCCAGGGCTTTGAAAAACTAAGAGTCATTGGTGAATGGGATGTTGTCATAGATAAGCTTAAGAACCAGGATAGTCTGCTTGTGAATAAATTAAGCTTTCATCACTTTTAAAAAAAAATCAATGTAGCTTCTATGGATGTGAAGAGAACTTCCCAAACATGAACATAATATACACTAATGCAGCGCCATCTTCTCTGCTCTGCAGACAGAGCTCTGGTGCCTCTGCAACTGCTCATAGCTTTGTCGAGATGTAGGAGAATGAGAATTAAATAGATGTTTGTTAGTTTTCTCATCCATTGGCGGAGATCTAGCTCCAGTTGTATATTCTCTGCTCCCTCAACTGATGAATGCAGAGAATCAGGGTGTTTTTATTGGAAGGGATCTTCTTGATTGAGTTCAGGGAATTGGGTGCTAGGAAGAGAGGGCGCAGCATCCACCAGCAATGCAGTGATTCCTCTAGGTCTGAGTACTGCTCCTTATATAGATAACAGGTGTATTTTGGATATGACAGTCAACATGTCTGATAGGATTTTCATAATAACCAGGGACGACAAAATCAGCCCTATCCCAGAGAGAGATTCTCCTGTCCTGCATGGAACTAAGATCCCTACCTCTATGTGCACTGCCAACCAAGGGGAGATAAACACCAGTGTGTTTAATGTGATAGAAGGTGGATTAGCAGAGCGGATCCTATACCCAGAACTATTTTACTCCATCGTAAGACAACTTATTGGGATGGTGATGGAACTCTTTGCATCTTGAAACAATAAATAAAGTGCCCTGTGCCCTCTCTGTGTCAGGACCCAGGATGGATGTTAAGTGGCGAATGACCTCTTCTGAAGCTGGGCGAGGCCCCCACGATGTCTGTCTCGTCCTGGGAGCAGGTGGGAAGGATAGGAACAAGAGAGCAGCAGTGATGATGTTTGTTCTTTTCTCTCTGAAGAGGCTATGGCTCCCAGGTTTGATTAACCTAGCATTGGATCCTTGGATGCGTCTATCTCGGAGAAAGTCTGTTATTGCAAGGCGAGTCCTCCATCCAGGACCATACCAATTAAAAACCCATACTTGGGTGAAGTCATTATTTCTCTCATGTGCCTCAGACAACAATTTGCACTATCCAGCAGAACAAGTTCTAAGTTCATAGTTTTAATTACCATGTTAAACCAGTGAAACACAGCATTGCGTTTCTCCAAGGAGGGCTTTATTATGGGGGTATAAGTGTGCTAGCAAAAAGAACCAGTCTCTGTATTATGTTCTTGGCATGTTCTTAAAAAAAGGAGTTTTATATCAATGCAAATGTTAAATACTTCCTTGGGGCAGCAACCTTATCCCAAGCCTGGAAGGTTATAGAGCATGATCTTCGGAACCTCATTCTGCTCTTTACAGCATTGCCCAGATTGAACCTCTGCAGGAGGCCTCATTATATTTCCGATCCATTATAGTACGTCTCCCAGTGGCTGCTGTCTCCATCAGACAACTTTTTTTATGTGACGTTATGGTTATCTTAGAGAAAGCACTGGTTATTTGTATTTTTAATTTAGACAGTTAGTCCTTACCGTTGTCATAACATTAATTCCCACAGTAAATTCAGTAAATACTTCTTCAAATAAGTATTATGGCCCAGTCCTTGGGATCATAGACAATCTCAGGACAGAGTAGACGTGTCTCCTGTATTGAGATCTTCTGGACAGCCATTATTTCACCAAATTCTGCGTGTTGGTCGTTCAGTTTTAGCCAGTGCCATTTCTTTTCTTTTGGGAGAAGATGGAAGAGATTTCGATATATAATCTAGCTCCTTTTGAATGTCCATACTTAGTGATCCTACTTCCCAGTGTGGAGGCACACTGCTACGAAAATCCCATTGGAACCGATTGGTGGACCTTAATATTAAAAAAAAAAAAAAAAAAAAAGGAAAATGTACCTGTGATTATCTGCAAACTTCCTTTCTTCAAGTAATAAAGTCCACAGATCTACCCAGGAGGGAAATTTGTAATCCAGAATAGAAATGAATATTGACATTGAAGGATTAAAGTTTTTTGTTTTTAGGTGAAATTCAACATGTTCTCCACTGGTTGAAGTTATTGTGCTTTTCCCTCAAATTACATTTTAACACAGTCTGTAAATTAGGAAAGTAGATTTTAATTTTCCTGGTTGTGGAAATAATCTCAACTGGATGGAACTTCAGGAGGTGGGTTGTTCCCCTGCTGTCAGTGACAGGCAGGTCTGGTTCTGCCCCTGAGCTGCAAGCAGGTTGAAGTACCCATCGAAACAGATGGGTAACAGAGCTGTGGATCTTATTGCTTGATAAAAGGCAACTTTCAGGTAAGCAGGGATAGATTTTCCTATTCACACAGCAGGATGAAATCAAGATATATTATGCAAATCATGGTTTGAAAATTATGATTTTCACCAGCTCATAACTGCAAATCTGAAAGGTATTTTATGCCCCTGGACTCCAGCACTTATCCGTCTGCCAAACTTCAGAATCCTGCTGCAAACTGCAGAGGAGTTCCCTTCAAAGAAATTAATGCAAGAATTTTTATGATGCAAAGTGTTAAGCAACCTGTTGCTTCTCTCCTTATACAGTAGGGATATAGTTGAACTCTTGAGTCCTGATCCAGCAAAGCACTTAAAAATGTGGTTAACTTTAAAATACATGGAGTCCTATTGAGGGACAACTCACGTGCTTAAACTCATGTTTTAATTGCTTTGCTGGATTGAGAGTTTGATTCTGTTTTGTCTTTATATATAAACCCCTACAATAACAAATCTCTCTCCAGTGCATGCATATGTATATAGATCACATTTAGTGCTGACCACTATACAGTCAGTTGCATTTATCATGTATCTTTGACCACCTCCACATGCTGCTTTCTGCCCAGTAATCCATCTATTTATTATTCCAAATCTGTGTAGCAACAGCCACCTTTTAAAAAAATACAACAAAAACAATCCTGTCCCCCAGATCCTTACATCTTCTTATCCCAAATGTGAATTTTCCCCACAAAAAATACTCCTGAGATCCAGGACTTGATCTTACACTAGTGATTGGTTTAAGATTTGATAGTTTGCAATCCTGCAAAGCTATCAGTTGGCATCTTACAACATGGAAAAGAGGGAAATTTTTCAGATTGGGAAACATGGCACTTGCTTCCAGAGGTCAGTCTAGTGATCTCTTCCATGCTGAAATACAGAAAGAGACATTTTGGAAAGTAAATGAGATTTAAATGCATAACTTTAATAATCTAAATTAAGAGCAGAAGTAAAATGCTTCTGTAATATGATTTTTAATGTGACAACATAACTTTTTAAATGCAAATTGAACAGCAGGTTTACCCTAAATGTATTCAAAGAAGATTTATAACAGTAATTTTAAATCCCGACTCTAGTCCAGTCAATAAAGCCAGTCCTCCTCATTTCTACAAAAGAAATGCATGGAAACTGATTAGATACTATATTCTTCTTGTGTTGTGCACAATCATATGCAAAACCTTCGAACAGCTGTATTTGCTGAACATCTTTACAAAATTTACCTACAGTTTCAAGTTAAAGGCTTTGCAGCTGCTAGCATTTTTCCTGTTCAATAGCAGCTGTTGTATTGGCAAGCCCATTTTTATCATGGGAGATGCTAGCAGAGTGAGAATGAATCCGAAACAACTGTTTGTAATCCATGCTATATAGATCAATTACCATGAAAACAAGTCACTCCAAGGTGCATGTCTGCTGCAAACAGTTAACTGTTTCACTCTATAAATAGCATAACATTATACAACATTGTCTTCCAAGAAGTGTAAGCTAAATGTCTTGTACCATGAGAGCATAAGAAGGAAAATATTAAACCATTCCGTGAAGTTGAACCACTTTCCCTAGTATTCTGGGAGTAAATGGCATGAAAGGATAGCCACATGAATTTATCTACTTATGAGAACTCTGAGTACCGTTCCCAGACCTGAAGAGCTCTATGTAGCTCAGAAGCTTCTCTTTCACCAGCAGAAGTTTGTCCAATAAAAGAGATTACTTTCACCCACTTTGTCTCACTTATAAGAACAGTGTTTATCTTGTACAGTAATATACCACTAATAGCAATGTCCTGTATAAAAACATGATCGGTACCTGCTGCTCTTCAGCAGTTTAAGTAAGCTTCCATCGAAAACTCCTATGACAGTCCTTTCCAACATTTTATTGAAGAGCCCAGATACTTCAATCGATTGATTTGTTTAAACATTCAGCATCAGGGACTTTTTGGTCCCATTGCTAACTCACTTAAAATAACACTTGAGGATTCATTCTAAACAATTAGAGAATTTCCAATCTGTTACTGTATTCCAGTTAATTTATTTGCTATTAGTTTATTAGAGAGAAAAAAATTTAGTTACCTTATCAGCTATACAAGGTATAGTAGAGTTGAGACACTACAGACAGCTGTATGTGTACATGCTGTTATCAGTTTCTTTTTAATCACTTCATCCCATCTTTCTTCAAATAGTTTAGTTACAGATAGTTAGACAGGTAGTAAGTCTTTCCATTTCTTAAATCTCTTATTCTTGTGACAGGTTTCAGAGTAGGAGCCATGTTAGTCTGTATCCGCAAAAAGAAAAGGAGGACTTGTGGCACCTTAGAGACTAACCAATTTATTTGAGCATAAGCTTGCGTGAGCTACAGCTCACTTCATCGGATGCATGCAGTGGAAAATACACCCACTGCCACACTTATGTTTGTGTTTGACAGACTTGATTATGTGATAAAAATGTTTTATTGACTTTACTTTTAAATGTCTCCATTGAAACCACAAGAGTTATCCAGGTAATTCCAAATGAGTGCCAATAAAACCTTCTAGTCACAATGTTTGCTCTGTATATGCCATACTTTTCTGAAAAACAATTTAAAAAATATTTCAGAGTTGAAAAAAAATTCCTGTCAATTTTTCTTACATCTTGGCACCTGTAGTCAGATGCCTTGGTTACCACTGTGGAGGACTCAAAGGAGAGTCAATTAAAGATGTAAAACCTTCCTAGAAAAGCTTTTCTGGTTCACATTTAGTGGGACAATGCAGATTCTTTACATTGAAAAAAAAATAAATTAAAAACTTAAACATTTTAATAGATTTCTCTTAGGGTTTGTAAAACACTTTTTTTGTTTATAAATACCCTAATATTGGTACTGAACTACTTGACAATCTCAAAATAAGCTTAAAAATTGAAATACTCTGAAAACTTTCAGATATCACTATGCACAGTGAAGCTTTTATAGCGAATATCTTTTCACACACAATTCACAGTATGTCCATCTAGAATGCAGAAACTTTGCTGGGGAAACTAGGTAGAGTGGCTCAAATTTGCTGTATTTATGGAGAGAACTGTATTAAGTGTTCCTGAATCATGTTAAAGGCTTTCTCAGATTAAGAAAGGAAACCCAATCTCTGATATCCTGGAAAGAGCGAGACTCTGAAAATAATGACTGCATGAACATCGCCAGATTGTGGTTTATGAAAGAAAAATATACCACTAAGATGTTCTAAAGGCAAAGAAATGTGAGAAATGGGGGAAAAAAAAAAAAAAAAACTGCTTGAATCCCAGTCCCAAGGTAAGTTTGAAGAATACTGGACTTTAGCTAACATGTTCTAGCATGCAAGAAACCAGAACTAATAGCTACAATGCTTATCCAGAATGGATTAGAATTGTCCATGCACCTATCTGCTAAAATTATTTTCCAACATTTGCTTATATACTTCTGTAGCATAATATACTGAACACCAGGACCTGTATTTACATATAGCTATGCCAGACCAAAAATATGCCTTCCCACCTGGATTATAGTAGGACAGTAGCAGTGCTGTGGTTAAGCATGAGACTAGGATACTGCTTATCCATTCTTGTCAAAGTCCTCACAGGCTTGCTGGGTTTTTCTTGAAAACTTGTGCTTCATGATGTCCAGAGTAGGATTAGTGGTCCAAATGTTGAGGCTGTTTGAACAAAATCTTTCTGAGAGTCTCTTCCTCCCTCAAATAAAATAAAATAAACATTTTATATCATGTGACATCAAAATCTTACCTGTTCTTATAACAGATTTTTGTGTATGCCTGGGGCTTATTGTGGCTCTGATTCTCTTCAAACTAATGTCACTGGTTTGGGATTGATTTCTGCTAGTGTCCAGCACCCATGGCCCTTTGGGAAGCAATATTTAAAAAATTAGTCTGGGTAAATCCTGGGATCCGCAGTTTGGCGTCAGCAGAGATGATGAGCCAGAGAGAGTTGCTTGCACATGTGTAAACCAGAGTGTTTGCAGGCAGCCTGCCATCAGAGTAGGTGGGTGGCTCAAAGTGACATGTTGTGGCCATTGAACCCAAGGAAAACCCATTTACTGGAAGTTTGATTCCTTTTGTTTGCATATTTTAGAGTGTATGTTGTGCACCTTAGTTGCTCTCTAACTGCATTCTTCTGCAGGGCCTCTCCTTAGAAATGTGTCCTGATAGCAAAGTTTCTGGTTTTCAGAGTGCCTTAAAATCCACATGCATACTCGGATTTTTACTTTGTGAGTATTGTCAAGGGGAAAAAATAATTTATATAAATAGAGGGAAGATGAAATACTGTTAAGTAGCAGCATTAGGGTAAGGCCTCATGCTCCTCCCTTAGGGTAAGGCCTTATGCTCCTCCCTCATCTTCTGAACAATGAGACTGGTTGTGATTGGAAAAAAAGCAAGTATCTGACTCTCTTCAGTGTCAGCATGTTCAGAAAGGTTGCATAGCACTAGGAATCCCACCTGTAATAGAGGGCCCTATAAGGGCTGGTGTGATGCTGACATTTAATAATGTGTTGCCATGATCCTATTATGTTTATCCTGAAAAATGTACATAGAGAACAAATGTCAGCTTCCTACAGTAATCCATCCAATCTACACAAACCAAGGGCTCACATCTATCAGTTTCATCCTTCAGTACTGTAGTTATTGGAAAAAGGGGTCTGAAGGAAATGTTAGACACTTGGAAAAATGCTAGTCGCATGGTCTCTTAAAAATGGTTGTTAAATCTCAAATGATATCTCACCCACAAACTGGTATTAAAAAATCAAGCAGTGAACAAATAGTTGATGATGTAACCCCAAGGGCAATTGCTGTAGCCCCTTTTCACCCCTGTGGAAGTGGGAATCCTGGTGCAGTCTTACCTGTGGTGGTGCTACTGCCAAAAAGACATTGCTACTCAAGGTAGAGTGACTGCTGCAGATGGAATCGTTCAGTCAAGGGACTCCTCAGGCACAGACCCCTTCCCTTTTCTCCCTATCCGTAAGGAGCTGATTTGAATCAAAGTGCTTTAAAATCCATATCCGCTGGGGGAATGTCTGGAAAATTGGTATTCCGCAACATGGGTTGGGACAGACTTTGGGAGATGGCAGCCGAGACCAACCCATTCGGATGAATGGGTTAGTTCACACCTCTGAGTGATTGTGCATTTTGGATGTATTCATCTCCAAGAGGTGTTCTCATTCATCTGACCCCATCCCATTGAGGTGCATGAGCCACTTCACAAGGCCTTCTAGAAAGGAACATAGACAGGGTGCCAGAATTCGGTCTCCTGCTTAGCTAACTACCATTTAATATGGGATAGGTGTATTGCCATACTATGGGCTTGTCTACACTGGCAAATGTTTGCAGTTTGAGCGCAAAGATCTGCTTTACTGCGCAGAAATGTACACATTGCCAAGCCACTTTCTGCACAGAAACTCCTCAGTTGCAGTGCTGCAAAAAAACCAGGTCAATGAGTCATAAGGCTATTTGCGCAGAGGCTCCAGCGCTCTATTGCCAGTGTAGACACTTGATTGCTTTCTGTGCTGTAATTGGCCTCTGGAGCTGTTCCGTAATGCCTCAAGTGACCACTCTGCTCATTGTTTTGAACTCAGCTGCCCTGGAGACATGGACCCCTTCCCTTTCAAAGCACCCTTTCTGACAGCCCTTGCATGCTGTGCTGACCTGCTCCGGGACACAAAGCAAACCATTAATGTGGAATGCTTGTGCTGTTGAACAGAGGGAGGGGTGGGAGTGTGTGTGTGTGTTTGTGAGAGAGCGAGAGAGCGCTGAGGGAGTGAGGTGGGGACTGATGTCGGGGTTTCCCCCTCCCCCTGCCTCAGGACTGGTTGCTTCCTGCCACTTTCTGAACTTACAAGACAGCATGGTGACGCACTGTCTCTCTTCCCACCCCTCCGTATACACACTCCTGTCACACGATCTCCCTCCCCTGCACTTCAGTTGAAAAGCAGCTGGCAATGTAGTCGGATGCCCATGGAACAATGGGATTGGGAAACCTGCATCAGGTGACACTGTGCCTGCCCCATGAGGCATTGCAAACCCTTCCCAAAGCAGCCTGCGGCCAGTTGCACAGTGGGATAGCTACCACAATGCACTGCTCTCTTTGCCGTTGCAAGAGCTGCTAATGTGGATGCGCAAGCAGCAGAGTGTGGACATGCAACAGCGATTTAATTCCAGCGTTTTAATAAAAGTGATATAACTTGTGGTGCAGAAACTTGCCAGTGTAGACATACCTTATGTAAACCTTTTAAAGCTGTCTCTTCTGTTAAAGGAGAACTTTAATATCGTATCTTACTTTGAGGTAACTCTGCCTGTATTATTATATTTTCTTGATTTCTAATTCTCCTGGGGAAGTGTTAGAGATACTTGCAAATAGGCTATAATTTGTATGCTGTGCTTTTAAACTCCTTCCAGTAATATTATCCAAAATACTTAAAATACTTAATTCATTTATTTAAAATGAAAATAAGCCTACTTTATTTTCTGCAGTTCACTCAGCCCGGTCAATGACATTCATTTTGATTCTGTGTTTCTTATTCACAGACCTAGTGTTTAAGTTGCAAATGCTGGTGAACACTGAAAGAGAGTCAAACATTTCTATTACTTTTTAACTGTATCAGTGGTGCATTGTTTGTTTCTTTTAAGGCCGCAATTTGAGAGCTAAAGAAATTTACTATATTGACACAATTTTTGATACTTATTTTCTCTTGGAAATCATCTTGTCCATGAACTTCAAATGCTAGCATTCTATTTCCCGCCCCCTTTTAATTTAAGAACATGTTTAGGCTTCCAGCTGTTGAAACGTGCAGACAGTTGCCTGTGGTGTCCTATCTGAAAATCCCTTCCTGTCGTCTCATGGCCAATAAAGAAGAAGTGATCTGTTGTTTGGAGAGCACAGCTGAAGTTTCATCTTGCCAGATTTTTGGGCAGCAGTGTAACTGTTAAGAATGCATGCTCTCCCCCCCCCCCATCCCCCGCCATACTAGATGGAACACTTCTCTACTTGCGCAAGCAAACCAGTAACTCAAAGGTACTCACACAATATAGCTAAAGATTCAAACTTAAAAACAAAATATGGAGCTTCTTAAATCTAGGACATCCCACAGAACTCTTCCATTTCTGGTTATTGGAAAAAACTTTTGTTTCTATCTTTCACCAACAGAAGTTGATCCAATAAAAGATATTGCCTCGCCCACCTTGTGTGTAAATGTTCTGGGGCCAACATGGCTGCAACACTGCAAGCAACTTTAGTTTCTGGGACTGTTTTATAAAGGACCTTGTTCTAATATTCCAGTTCCCTTGTAGGCCCTAGCCTTGCTTTCGTTTGTAGTTGCTCTCCTGATGTATGGACTGTAGAAAGAAGGCCTTTATGGACTTTGTGGATACTTTAATGGCTTAAAAAGGTTAAACTGTTTTTTGTACAGCCTGGTATTGTTTAGGTTGTTTGACTATTTCTTGCCATTTCTCAACATGAACATGTAGTCAATCTGATTATTGGCTTCTTGGTCTCCTTTCCAGTTCATAGAATCACAGAATCATAGAATATCAGGGTTGGAAGGGACCTCAGGAGGTCATCTAGTCCAACCCCCTGCTCAAAGCAGGACCAATCCCCAACTAAAGCATCCCAGCCAGGGCTTTGTCAAGCCTGACCTTAAAAATATCTAAGGAAGGAGATTCCACCACCTCCCAAGGTAACACATGCCAGTGTTTCACCACCCTCCTCGTGAAAAAGTTTTTCCTAATATCCAACCTAAACCTCCCCCACTGCAACTTGAGACCATTATTCCTTGTTCTGTCATCAGCTACCACTGAGAACAGTCTAGATCCATCCTCTTTGGAACCCCTTTCAGGTAGTTGAAAGCAGCTATCAAATCCCCCCTCATTCTTCTCTTCTGCAGACAAAACAATCCCAGTTCCCTCAGCCTCTCCTCATAACTCATGTGTTCCAGACCCCTAATCATTTTTGTTGCCCTCCGCTGGACTCTCTCCAATTTCTCCACATCCTTCTTGTAGTGTGGGGCCCAAAACTGGACACAGTACTCCAGATGAGGCCTCACCAATGTCAAATAGAGGGGAACGATCACGTCCCTCGATCTGCTGGCAATGCCCCTACTTATACATCCCAAAATGCCATTTGCCTTCTTGGCAACAAGGGCACACTGTTGACTCATATCCAACTTCTTGTCCACTGTAACCCCTCGGTCCTTTTCTGCAGAACTGTTGCCTAGCCATTCGGTCCCTAGTCTGTAGTGGTGCATGGGATTCTTCCGTCCTAAGTGCAGGACTCTGCACTTGTCCTTGTCCTTGTTGAAGCTCATCAGATTTCTTTTGGCCCAATCCTCCAATTTGTCTAGATCCCTCTGTATCCTATCCCTGCCCTCCAGCGTATCTACCACTCCTCCCAGTTTAGTGTCATCTGCAAACTTGCTGAGGGTGCAATCCACACCATCCTCCAGATCATTAATGAAGATATTGAACAAAACCGGCCCGAGGACCGACCTTTGGGCCACTCCACTTGATACCGGCTGCCAACTAGACATGGAGCCATTGATCACTACCCGTTGAGCCTGACAATCTAGCCAACTTTCTATGTACCTTATAGTCCATTCATCCAGCCCATACTTCTTCACAGTTCACAGGCCTCATCAGTTAATTTATACAATTGTGTCCTGTATCTGAATGATGTTTTAAGGTGACTAACCAAGAAAGGGAGGAGATGTGACTGCTCCAATTATGTAATTTAAGATTTGTTTTAATTGCTTTTTTTAATGCCCCTCTAACATATCTGTCTCTTCATTGTCTAGGGGCTGGTGTGCACTCGGCGATTACATCAGTATAGCTTTGTCTCTTGGGAGTGTAAAAAATGCATGCCCCTAGAGGTATAGCTATGCTGTTCTGCCTCCCAGTGTAGACAGAAGAATTCTTCTGTCAACCTAGCTACTGTCTCTTGAGAAGGTGGATTATCTGTGCCAATGGGGAAATCCCTCCTGTTGGCATAGGGCAGTGGTAATCGATTATTTTTTGTCAGGGTCCAAATTTCTTGGTCAAGGTGTAGTCAAGGTCCAGACTCCCGAGAAAATAATACAAAAATAACACTCATGATGATGATAATAAGTAAATAAAAAGATTTTATGGTCCATTCAAAAGCGTCTGGCAGTCCAGATTTAGCCCGCAATCCGCCTGTTGTCTACCTCTGGCGTAGGTAATGTCTACACTGAAGTGCTACGGTGGTGCAGATAAGGCCATGTCTATGCTACTGCTTCTGTCGGCAAAACTTATGTCCCCAAGGGGTGTGAAAAAAACACATTCCGGAGCAATGCAGGTTTCGCCGGCGTAAGTGGTAGTATGCCCAGTGCTATGTTGACTGGAGAGCTTTCTCCTGTCACCATGGAGCAGTTACATGAGTGATCTTGGAGCAGTGCAACTGCAGTGGTACATCTGTGCTGCTGGAAGCT